AGACAAAAACACCTTATAATGCCATTTACAGTAAACCTTTAGGTCTACGTACTATTAAGTTTTGGAAATCTTGTAACAATAGTGATAGGTGGGTATGAAAATGATCTTGTTACTTGGATTTAAGGTTTTGCTGGATTTTTAGTTATAGATGTTTTATGAATGTTGAGGACTATAGATTTTTTTTAAAAGAAATTTATATTTGAATTTGCAGATTTTAACCCATTGCGTAGAAAGGTGTGTTCTTGTTACGTATTGTCCATGTTTAACTCATTCCCCAACATTCATGGACATTGAAAGGAAGACAAATTTAAATTTAAAAGTGTAAATCTTATTTGTTTTTGTGGTATACTTAATGCATATTATATGGATTTAGGATTTTATGCCATTATGTTCTAGGTTACTTACATCAGACAAAGAACCTCACTAAAGTGTTACGGATCCAGGTTTTGACTATGTTTCCTCTAACCTTATTGTCTGTCTCCTGTTGCTGGGCAGGAATCAGAATGCTGGCTACTGATTGGCTGAGTTTGTGAGCAGCTCTTGAACAGCCACTTAAATTCTTGAGCTTTTTCAGCAGGCAGATTGTAGGCTGAGACATTACAGCTTTTGGTAATACTTCCGTTTGTTGTTTCCTAGTTCTGATCTCTGCTAGAAAGAAGAGTGAAAGGAGTGGGTGGAGGGGGACGAAGCAGAGGAGAAAGTGATGTTCTCACTGAAAAAATAAGAGGCTCATTGGGCTTTCCTTAAAAATAATTTACTTAAAATCTGTAAAAAATTTCTAAGTCATAGAAACTTTTTTGCAGGTAACACACCTTTCTTGGTTCTTTAAGAATAAATTCCTTTGGTAAAGATGAAACCCTTGTTAATGCTGTAGAAAAAGATTTTATTGGTTATGGTATTTCCCAGAGTTCTTAAATCTGAATATTAATGGTAAGATTTAGTGAAAACATTTTTTTTTTACTGCCGTCCTGAAAAAAATATTTTCAGGAGAAAGTAATTCACATTTTACAAGATATGGCAGACATTTTCTACTGTGAAATCTAAATGCTTTTCCATGTGAAAACGAGTTGCAGTCATGTTAGAGATTCATGATTCTAGTGTTGCCATCTAAAAGAGTATATTTCTTTTGTAGAATTGTTTTGTGAGTGACATCTTAGTTCCAGATGATGGTATTTAAAGTGATCCTTAGAAATGTTTTGTTTTGGCAGTGTAGCCATGGATACTTGTTTACAGGTAACACACCCTTTTCTAATGTGTATCTTTCTTAAATATACTTTGCTTATGCAAAATAGATTTTTAAAAACTTACTGCTGATTGGTTTGCACAGATATGGCCGAACTAGTTTGAACTGGTTGTTCATGCTGCTTCCTTATTGCTTTGTCTGCTTTTCATTATACTTAGAACCCGTGAAAGAATGGCTGTAGTGTGCTCCCTTGTGGGTATAGATGGTAGTTATTCTGTAATTCTTTGAATAGTACTTTATTATTAACTGAATTGAATGGCATTTTGTTGATAAAACCAGCTTGCTTGGATTATATTTATCTCTATTAAATGTATGGTGATGGCAAATGTGATGTTTGCGTGTTGGATTTTCTAATCAACATGCAAAATAGCAAAATAAAAGTATTTAAGAGAAATTTGATTATGACTTAAAACATTCTGAATATACATAGGTAATTATGATAACTTTATTGAATGCTCACTACATTCTAAGTCCTTACTGTGTAGAATCTCATTTAATAATCACCACAACTTCCGTGTCAGGTACTGATTCTCCTCTTGTAATATAGCTAAAACTAAACGTCGTAATGTTCGTCAGCTTGCCCTGTATCACACAGTAAGTACATGGGAGTGCTGGAATGCAAATCCATGTTTCTGTCTGCAGAATTCATGCTCGTAGTGGA